TAAAGGCCTACTACTGCTGTACTCTAAATCATATTATGTATTTTAATTAAGTAGTGGCACATTGATGTCGAGTTACGCTAAATGTCACAAAACCCAAAGGAAATAAATTAATAACTAGGTAACTAGTTAATTATTTGAATTAGAGATGTCATGTATATGTACGGCATGTTATTTTTTAATTGGAAATGTTTGTTATTCATCCAGTTTGTTTACTAAACGACTGCTATTCACTAAGTACAAAAATATTTTATTTCTGTGCTCTAGCTACTGGGTCCGTTGTTGAGTTCTAGTTTTAAGCCATTCCTGAAATTCATTGTAATATATCGTAGATATTGAATAACTATGTTTTGTAGAGGATCGTTAAGATACTAGCATGTTCCATAGATGCGTTTGTAAATGGATCACCTCCCCTGATTGGCATGCGCAACGGGAGGTGCCCGACGACGGCAATTGCCAATGAATAGTATGCCGACTTTTCATTAAAGATGACAGGAAAGACCTACATTGCACGACCAGACAGACTGGACTATTTGCAAGTTACGCAACATAACTTAACAACATACGACGAAATAAGTTAGGTACTTACTCCCATAAGATACTTTTCTTCATTCCTTAACGAAAAAGCTGGCCACGTTGTATTTATAGTAGTCTGGTGTAGGTATATCAATACCAATGTTACATTTAAAAAACAGTAATTCATTTAGGGCCAATTTTTCATTCATCAGTTAATTCTTAACTCAGGAATAACTTTGAATATTTGACAATTCTTCCATATTAAAAACTGTCAAGTGTCAATTTTATTCTACAGTTAAGAGTTAACTGATGATTGAAAAAACGGCCCTTAAGATCGTATAAATAAATGTAATCTCATTCTACGATTTACGAACTATCGATAACTAGTTACGTTTTTTCTAATTAAGTACACTATCGACATGATCTAATGCTAATGTCTGTGACAAGACATGGATGGATTCTTTAGTAAATATGATTTTCAATTAAGATTAAAAATAATTTTAAACAGGTAATTAACTGCAATAAGTACCGTGGTTACAATGGGTACTAATTTCCAGTTAACATGATATCAAAATTAAACCAGATTAACACAATGCAGTTATTAACAGATTCGTCTAAAGAATCGTATGTTTAGTAACGCTAATAACTATATGCGATATATTTTTATCATTCTCTGAAAATAACCGTGTACAGGAAGATTGCTTTTATCTGAGAACGATTGAAACGTATACAAAATGATGAAATCAAGCAGTCTAAAATGACGGAATAGTCCCACCTGCTTGAATTGCTATATTTACCAGTCAAACACAAATCTTCATCGAGCCAGTCATGAAAGTGGTGTTTTTTCATGTAACACATGACAAAATGTATAGTACCAAAGCAAACATTACTCATTTGAAACGGAGCGTAACAGATGAAAAACAACTGAAACTACATAAGTCAGTTCAAGTTTTCTAGTAAAATCGTAATTGATATAATCTAATTTTTACACTACCTATATGTGAGAAAAAGAGACGGAGTCGTGCTGTGCGTGTTGTTCTGAGCTGAAGTCAGTATTTGCAGCGGTGGCGACAATATATCGATCCGCAAGAGCGACGACCTTATGAAAACTTTTTTAACCCTGTCATTTTCTCAATCCTTGCTTGCATCTAGAAAAGGATTATTGGCCAATTTTGTGTAAACACAACTTTATCTTGTTGTTCTTATGACTAACAATGCAAACTTGAGTGTACTAGGCACGCAAGATTGATCTGGTGATGACTCAGCCTTGGTATTGGCCCACATGGTCTTCATGATACAATCATTAAACATACACAGGGCATCACTGTAATTAAGACATTCGCATTGAGTTGCGCAATGTCTCTAGGCAAATAAGAAATAATAATGACTGTAAAGTGTAAACAAATTAACATTTCAGTTTTATTATCTCTTTTGCTTTATGTCTAGTCCTTCACAAATATGTGAGTGCTTGCTAATTAGTAAGTTCTTGATAAAAAATCTTGTACTCGCAAAATAATTGTAAACAGAGCGTCAGCGTTCAGTAAGCAAACACCATGGCAGTTTCCATTGATGAAGCAACCACATGACCGTTACAGGGTAAATGACATATTATTTACACTTGCCTTACTTAATAAGGCACGCACGTGCTAAAAACGAAATAAAAATTTATTGCTCAAATTTTATGAGCCTCTTTATCAATCATATTGTTACCCATCTAGTGGATAAAACGAATCTGTTTTAGTTCTTTAATGGCACGTTTGAAGTTATACAGCATACAGCTGTCCGTTAATACGTAACGATAGTAATCTAAATCGTACACAGTACTATACACAGTATAGTCTTGGTATCTACTTATTAACTTAATCAGAAGAATAAATTTTGATACATAGTTTGAGTCAAGCTACGTAAAGGAGTCGAAAACGTAACTTCTTACTTTATGTCTAGGCGAGTCTTTTTATTTTTTATTTCTATGTTTTCTTTTACATAATATGAATTTATTTTTCAGTTGTAAATAGGTAATGTTACTTTTTATTATTATTTTAGTCATAGATATTATTGTTTTTTTTATTATTCGGCATGCGTATTAATTCTGTTCTTTTTAGACGTGAAAAATAATCGTTTATGGTTCTAATAAAAAATCTTATATTCTTCTCATAGGCAAAAATTACTTAATGAAAGCTACTGAATAGTTAGTTGTTACTGCGAATTGTTGTTTTCTTGGCTATATGATTGTTTACGTATTTTATTTTACTTATCTAAACTAACTACTTGTTACTAAATAAATAATCCGTGTTGAGTACCAATATAATCGTAATATTTCAGTCTTCTGAGCACGCAAATTCACGATTTCAAATTCAAATTATTTTATTGCATATCATGTGTACAATTATTGGTGTTCATAAGGTTACAGTTTCAATATGAAACCCGGCTAGGGCACAGCAACATATGGGGCAAAATATAATCTAACTAAACTACTATTAATAGTTATTACATTATAACATAAGAAATGTTGTTTTCGTAGTAAACCTTAACACATTGTTTAGCAACAGTATTTTTCAGTATTCCGCTCGAAGTTTTCAAATATAATATTTACAAAGTACATTTAGGTCTGATCTTCTTTATTTTTCCAATTAGTTCAACCTGACGATTTTTTTTTTTTTAAGGGGGGAAAATCATCGAATGACTGCCCCCGCCTGGGTGAGGCGGGAGGGAGTGTCAGACTCTTACTGACTAAAAACCACCCCGTTCCTTCTCCTGCACGTCGAGCCGGAGCCCCGGTTACCCGTTAGGTTCTCCGCGACTCCGAATCGGCATCGGCCCTATTGGGCCCCATCTGTGGTGGTCTGATGGCTCTTTGAGGCGCGCGCGGAACGCGACGCGCCGTACGCTCGGGTCTGTTTCTGGTCGGACGGGGAGCCACCCATGCTCGCCGTCCGCAGGCCCGCGCTTACGGTGGCCGGAGATCGTCCCGCGATCCCCGACGCCCGGTGTGTCCTTCGCGATGGCTGGGTTGCGAGGAGGCAGCGCTTCGCTGCCTCACGCGTCCCGCCTCCTCCTTAGCTAGCATGACTGCTTCGCAAAAGGAGGAGACGGCATCCCAATCCCCCTCGCTCCGCATCATGGCCTGCACTAGGCCCGGACGCGAGAGGTCGCCATCGCCGATCACTTCCCTGAGGACACGGCGGTGCCCAGCCCACGAAGGGCATTCTCCCACCGTGTGTTCCACCGTGTCCTCAGGGCGGTCCTCGCAGTGATGACACCCGGGCGTTTCCTCCCGCCCCATCAGACACAGGTACCTCCCGAAACTTCCATGTCCGGTGAGGACCTGCGTCAGGCGGTTAGGTGAGGACGCCGTAGCGTCTCTCAAGCCACTCCTCAAAGAGGGGACTTACCGCTGCGATGGCAGCGAGCCCATCAACCTGACGATAAATAAATATAAAAAGTAAATAGGCATATAAAACTCTTCCGTTACTGAGTGACTGACTTTAATTAACCGATAGTCCGACAACGCACTACCGAAACTACTACTGGACTTAGGAATAGGAAGCTGAAACTTGTCATGAAGTATATTAATTGGTGGGTGTAGGGGAGCACTGAGAGAGGATTTCCGTAGATTCCAGAAAGAGTACTCCCGATATGTGCGCACGAAGTGACTGTCAGTAGTGGCAGTACTATGAATTAAAAAGAAAAATGTATCTGATAAGATTTAAGAACTTCGTATTTGTAAACTTTAATTAAACTTTACGTTTAAGTAAATAGTTACTACAATTTTTAACCGACTTCAAAAATGGAGGAGGTTCTCAATTCGACATTATATATATGTTTTTTCCTGATTATGTTTTATGCGAATCATAAACCCAGTTTTATCAGCTTGTTCGCTGTTTTGGGTACGATCGCCAGAATAGGTACGAAATATTCAACTATCTGGCTATCCATTACGTTCTCGGCTTCTCGTTCATGAGATAGGTACAGTCACAGACAGACGAACGGACGGACAGCAGAGACTCGAGTATCAGATATGGGTAATATCTGATTCCCGAGACTGCAGCTTCGTCGGGATCGGAAGAAACTAAAAAAATGCGTTTACGACATCAACACCTTGAGTTCCGAATTTATTACTTTTTATCTAAGTACTTACTAACAATATTAAGTTGAATATTGAAATAGTATACGACATTATTTAAGCACTCACTTATATCTACTAAATTCTTTATAATTAGGTAATAAAGCTGAAGAGTTTATTGGTAATTTGAACGCATTGATTTCTGAAACTAGGAACTTACTGGATCGATTTGAAAAAAATATTTTTAAGTTGGATAGTACGTATTCATTTATCCAAGAAAGCTTTAAAAAACATCACGCTACGATAATCAGGAGCCGAGCAGCAGGTCAAGCCGCGGGGGAGTAGCATTTTTATATAACAATTACTTAGTTAAGTCTTATAAGAAAATTACAAAAATTAAGTCATAAAACAACAATTTACTTACTTGTATAGAACTTTTAGGAATGTGCCGAAACCACGACAAGTTGCTACCTCGCCGGTGTATGTAACAGTCATTGTTTGTTTTGAATATTAAATTAATGTTTACTTATTTATTAGAAGAAATATCACAGAAACAGATTTGTTGAAATAATTTAATTTTCATCTACACAGCCAATATTGTTTTGTAAAAGTTTTAAACTTACAAATCATTGTTCGACTTTCACTGAGCACACCATTATTTATACTAATAATTGGGCGAAATCTTAATTAAATATAATAGATTTCATGCTTAATACCAATTAAGTAACAACTATGTAATGACAAAATATTTTAATTGGTGATTTCTAACTTATAACTACGATCTCACTAATCAGTCACCGTGAGACTATTATTTTATTTCATAATAATAATTTTACACCACACTAGCAAACACTACAAACAATGAATTAGAATGAGAATGAGATGAGAATGCGTTTGATTGAATAACTTCACAACACTACAGACAACAACATAATATTGTTCAATCCAGTCCAGCCATGAATGAATGAATGAATGATGAACCAATTTTTTTATATGGGGACATGGTGTGAAAATCATCGATGACTGCTCCCATCTGGGTGAGGCAGGAGGGAGTGTCAGACTCTTACTGACTAAAAACCACATCGTTCCTTCTCCTGCACGTCGAGCCGGAGCCCCGGTTACCCGTTACGTTCTCCGCAACTCCGAATAATGATGAACCATAAAGTCTTTAAATGACATATATGAATGAAACCAAAATCTGCAGCACCACGACACACAAGTCTATCCTAAATAATTTCATGTGACAATGACAATGTATCGATTTTTTAGTCTTGCATCATCTATAGCATTATTATTTTAATAATAATTGCAATCAGTAGTGGAATAAATTAAAGAAGCGCGTCTTCGAAGTTCGAAGTCGGACGAAAAGAAAAAATCTCTATGGTAATACGGACACAAGCTGGACATCACTATTAAAAACAAAACAGAAAAAAAATTGAAGTAAAGGATCGTTCAAGATGGCGAACCTAACTTCAATTTGTTAAAAAATCTGAGTATAATAGTGTTTCCTAAGTACTAATTTAAGATATTTTTTATGTCTGAATTCATTTCCAAATATTATTTGTGCGTAACAAATAAGTAAAATAGTTAGAACGTTATATCTGTGAATGAATATCAACTTTCACAATGAGCGAAATTGCCAACAGTGAAGGAGCTTCAGAGTCGGAGAAGCCGGTTTCAAATGACGGTGTAATATTCCCGCCTTTCCCAGGTATGTATTAGAAACTTAACTAAATACCTACTTGGAATCTTGTTCAAAATGGATTTATCAGAGCCCTAACATTGGTCATTCTTCGAATTCTAGATCCCAATGATGATGACTTTGATGATGATATTGAGGAAGAAGAGAGAAGTCACTACAAAACGGTTTTTAAAGGTAATCAAGCTTGTTGTTTATATAAACCCTTGTTGTGTATAAATATACAAATTATATATATATTCAATATATAATATACAAATTATGTATTAACCCATCAATGTTCTTTATTTCAGACCTCAACTCTTTAAAAACTATGAAATTACATTGTACAGCTTGTGATCGTCATCTAGGATGTGCAGCACGCAATGAATCCCGTATGCGTGCTCATCCAATGCTTCGCACTCTCGTCTGCCATACTTGTCACATTTTCTACAACAGTGGAGAATTTGAGAAGGGTGATGATGGCTCTGAGCTGTATTGTAGATGGTGTGGTCAAGGTGGACAAGTTTATTGTTGTTCTGACTGCCCTCATGTGTTTTGTGCGGTATGAAATTTTCTTTAAATTAAATTGTAAAGTTTGTAACTAAAATCCAGACCTCCGAAGTATACCAACTATTTTCATTGTATATGTCAACATATAACCAGCTAAATTTAATTCTGCAGTGAATATCAAATTCTTCACTAGCTATGTATGCAAGTCCTGTGTAATAGGCAGTAAGCCTGTTGCCACCCACACAAATCGTTTCTATGGACTGTATTATTAAATTAATTTGTCTTAGTCTTATTATTGGGCCATCTTACTTTAATGGAATTGAGTTCTTATAAAATACTGAAGATCTGGAGTGCACAGGCTCTTAGGCCATTTGGAGAAAATGTTTATACTATGTTTTATTTTACAGAAATGTGTCAAGCGTAATTTTGGAATATCAAAAGCCAAAGAAATTGAAAATGTAGACGATTGGAAATGTTTTAAATGCAATAACAAATGTCTGTGGGACCTCCGTGCACTATGTTGGGCAGTTTTACGTTACTGTGACCTCAAAAATAAGTAATATTATTATCTTAAAAGCTTGAATGTTTCTATGTTTTTTTATCTTTAGTTTTTACTATAATAATGATTATTTATACATGGTAATATATTACAGAATGGCACACCAAGCTCAAGATCCAGAATTAAAAGAAGCATATAAAAAGGATTGCTCCGTAGACTATTCTGAATGTTGCAAAAACAAATCAAAGAGAAATCAGAAAACAGAAACTACGAAACGGAAGGAAATCAAAAAGGAATCAGATGTAAAGTCAAACACAGATGCAAAGGCTACTTCTAATATAATATCTAAAATTTCACCAACTATACAGGTATGCTGAGGTTTCAGCCATAGTCCACAATTTCCTCTCTATGTGAAGTTTAATTTTATTTTTTTGTTTAAGGTCAAAAAATTTGCTTCTGTAAATATGGACGATATAAAGCAAGAAAAAAAGGCTCAAAAGAGATCTATAAGTCCCAAAAACAAAGCAGTTTTAGTAAAAACTCCAATAAATATTGCACCAAATACAAAGATACTGAACTCTGTTAGTATGCCATCTCTTCCCAAAAGGATGAAGGTATAATATTTTATTTCATAAGTATTTTTGATAAACAAATGATTTTATTTACATTTGTGCATCCGGTCAATAATTTTTATAATAATAAATTTCTAAGATTTAATATTTAGATGCGAACGTTTGTAAGTTTATGTGTATGTTTGTTACTGAACCATGTCAAAATGACTGAAGGGACCGGGATAAAATTTGGAACAGGTAGACATAACATATAGGCTACTTTTTAACCTACGGAACCCCTGGCAGAAGCTAGTAAATTATGAAATAATTTAATTAAAGTGTAAGCTACAAATATCAATTATTCTCTATTTTTGTTTATTACCTTGATTGTCAAAAATTATTTGTTACAGTTGCCTCCATTATTAGTGAATAGTGCTATAAGAGTTATAAATGACCGGAACAAGCCGATAACCTATACTCGCATTAAGCCTAAAGCACCTCAAACAGTGATTGGTAACTTCAATGGTTTTAATCCAACTATCTACACTGCTGATAATATTAATTTATCATTGGAAAATCTAACTCAGGTATGTATTATGTATATTTATTAGTAATAGTAACAATAGTTTTAACTAATGTGTATTCAGTTAATGGGCACGGTTTTCAAGTACTATATAAGAATCATACAAAGTGGCTTTTTGGTTTCTATCTTATGGATTAGATTCATTCGTAAATTCCTATGCATTTAAACATTTTAGTCACAGTACACAGAAATACTGATTAAAATGAACCGAAAGTAATAAATTTTCATTACACTGATATTTGCCTTGATACTTTAAATAAGTAGCAAAAGTGAAACGGACTTATAAATCATTAATTTTATACCTAACAAGTCATGAATTTTTTGCTTAACAAGTTATGGTCTATTACAGGGATTAGACATGACAAATATGGCTAATTTAAGCGGTAATTCACAAGACGACGACGTTGTATGCACTCCAGACTTCCCACTGGAGCCTTTGTGTGAGGTAAGGGTTGCTTCTAGTGAAGTTTGGTATTGAAAGACATGACATGCAATTAAACTATACCTCCTAATGGCTCGAGAAATAAATAGTATAACAATTTTGCAAAAAAATGCTTATTAATTTATTTGTTAATTTAAAATTAATGGTTTAATAATTTAAACAAGTAGTATTTAGTAAATCTCGCTTCACTGAAAGAATTTGGAAACCCTTAATTAGGCTTTTCACATTTTATTAATGTGGAATAGTGTATTGGCATTCTTATTTATTCAATATCACAGTTTCTTAACAACAATATAGGCTTATTTTAATATTTACGATTTTTTAAATTTTAATCATACTTTTGTTACAGGTTACTGAGGACAATGATGATGATGTGCAGTGCATTACGCCGGGTCCTGTTGTTCCACCAAAGCTAAGCAACCCTCCTCCTTTAGTACCACGCACATTAAATAATCCTCCAGATGTAACATCAGATAATGTTGTTCAAATGACTGATAACGATGTTACCGTAAACACAGCCACAGGTGGATTGAAATTCCGTGTGGACCCTCAAACTTTATCATCAAATAAGATGTATCGCCTACCGGATGGCCGCATATTTGCTATTAATTCAAATCCTGCTATGCCAGGCGGATATTCCGCTACTATAGTAGCAGTCGCCGAAGCAACTGGTAAAACGATATCGAAAGGCGCCACATACGCAGCTAAACTTAGCTCGGTCGCTCCTTCACCTGTAGTGACTCCCAAAGCAAGCCGGAATGTACCTCGCATTTTAAAACGTAGCACACCAAAAGCTACTATTTCCAAAATAAAAACCCCCGATAAACCATCTTCTAGACGTTGCGATTTAAATGTTCCAGTAGAATGGTATAGATACAATTTAGTTGATGCAGTTGATACTTTGGAATATGCTCTCTCTAGACTTAATAAATTGAAAAAAGAAGCTACGACTGTCTTCTTACGTACTCGAACAGTTGATGAAATGCGGACTATTCATAGAAGTTTAGAGAGGTTGCTGAATACGTCATCTAGTAGATTTACTGAAATTCGTGAAAATCTAAATAAGGGTTTAAAACAGTATCTTACACGGAAGTCAGGTGGTAACAGTGAAGATGACGATGACGTCGAAATATTACCAGATATGGAAGTTAATGATGATCCTATATTTATAGACGAAAATTCTGTCGAATCTATTAATGGTTCTGAAAACCAAGAGGTAGATTTAACAAGTGTTGGTAGTGAATACAATGATAGTGAAGAGAATAATAAAAGTGATAACTTTTCTAAAAGTATAACCGATCCTTTAAATGACAATGACCCTATTGAACATAATGATGCACTAGCAGTTATAAGTCACAAAAATAACTGTGTGGATGTCCCAGTCAATGCAATTAACATAAAAAGCAGTGCAAACAATAAAGGATTGAGTAGTGGCATAGTTAAAGAAACTGAAAAAGACTTGAGAGAGGAAAATGAAACTAAAAATAATGTTCAGGACAATGCCACTATGGATATTAGTGAAAACGAACCTGAAAAGGACATTCAAGAACAGAGTAGTACTGTAACTGATGTTCCTGTTACTAAAACAGAAAATGACATAGTGAATAAAAAAGATAACATTGATATAGATGAAGAAACTGACTCCAATGCAGACACAATTAAAACTGACAATATAGACAAGGAAGATACACTACCGACCAGCAACAATTTGGAATGTACAGAAAAATCTGCTGAAAGAAATGGTCTACAAAATGAAGATGAGGATGAAAAGAATTCAAATAAGGTAGCTGAAGAAAAGGATGATGGTATAAATAATAATGATTTAAATGATAAGGCTGATACTCAAGATAGTGATGATAGATTGCATGATACGGAAATGAGTGAAGAGATGATTGAAACATTGTTGAAAGATGATATAGGAGATGAACAGGGATCCACTTTGAAAACTGAAGATTCTTCAGAAATATTAGAAGAAACTTAAATAACTTTTTATATCCTATATTAGATAAGTTATATTACACTAAATATGCATAAGCTAGGTAGATAAGTACATAAATAAAACTGGTCAAAATTTTAATACTTCTCTAAACTTGTTAACCAATGTCAATGTAAATATTTAAAACAATTATAAAGTATTTATTTGGGAAATATATATTATTCAGATGGACAGATTTGAGAGAGGATTTTTTATTATCAAAATATATGACATTTTTAAACGTATCTTGGATCTGAAATTCATTGTGCAGATAACAACATAAATTTTTAGTGAAATGTAATTATTTCTTTCAATTGGCTGCTTATAATAGTGAACCATAGCTATAACCGAAATCTGAATAGAATTGAAATATTGTTATTTGATTGAGAAGAAATTTAGTTTGAGTGTGTTTTTCTATGTGGCACTTTTTGGATAGTATAAAAAGTGTTGGAGTCAGTTAGCAGTTTATAAACACTTTCGATTTTCGACGAATTCAAACAAAGTTCTAACATTAATACAAGTTAAAAATTAAATTAAAACAGATTGGGTGCTGTTGTCGAATTGTATGTAAGCATGCACATCGTTATTGTCAACAGGATTAACTTATTGAATACTCAAATATTTGACAGAAACAGTAATGTAATGCAGTCAATAACGTCAGATAATATGGATACTACTTTACTGTAGGTATCTGAATATTGTTCAGACTCCTCAGGAAAAATTCCGAACTTTATGCAACTAAATAGTGTACATCTTATAAATATCGCATGTTATTATTGAATATATTCTGATTGAGAAACTAAGGCGATGCAGTGTGTAAACATATTCTTGTTATTGTCTAATAATATCCAAGAAGTCAAGAAAATTATATCAACTGTTCCTCTTAACCCTCTGCAACTGACGTGGTTAAATTATTAAAATTCAACTGAGGTGTATATTATACCAGACACCATTTCAACAGCAAATATTTTTGTAGAATTAAAGTATAGCGAGCACTATACAGTAAGGTACTCTCAGCAGTGATGCTCGTATTTGAAAAATGACGGTATAACACGTGATTTTGTATTTCGCGGTGTCTGTGGGACTACACGTCAGCTGCAGACGGTTATTCTTATAATGTTGTGTCTATTTTTTATTAAAATTATATATGTACGATATATACAAAGTAAAAACACTAAATGGCAATGCAACCCCAAAAAATTACGTTGGTTTAAAATTATTTTGTTTATTAATTTAAGTACAGAATAATTCAAACTATACCTAATTGTTAATTGCCTGTCAACTAATAATAATATTGATGTCTATAACTAAGTCATTGTAGTACATTTTTGTTTAAGGTATATCTCAAAACTGATACAATATGTTAGTGAATAACTAGTTTACTGTTTGTGGCACAAATCTCCGATGTATGTCTTGTTGAAATTTTGTTCTATTATTCAGTACTCTGGCTAATTCAAAGTGCACTAGTGACTAATGTCTATCACAGTATATTACATTTAAAACATTAGTTATACATTTGTAAAAAAAACACGTACCTATTGTCAAGCTAGGACAGTTATTATATATTTTTTTGTCTCACTAAGAACTCTATATATATCGATACATGAATTGCAGTATGTTGATTTGAAAATATGGGTACAATTCAAATTATAGTTTCTTCTATATTTTTTTTTTGTTTGTCCAATTTGTTTATATTTTTGTGTCATTAGTATTCCAAACAAGATTCAACAATCGCTATTTGCAACGCGCTTCATATAAATCATTAATTCCATAAAATAGGTTGAATTTATGCCGCATTTCTTATGCTTTTTATGCTGGAGTTAGATTTTATTACGCAGAATTACACTTAAAAAATAGCATGCACGTCTAACAATTCATTACAAAAATATTCTGGATTTATTTAAGGGATCAATTATTTTATTTATTCAAAGAGACATTAATCGAATTTAGTTCTCAATTTTCGAATTCTGTTGGGAGGTTTGTTAAATACATTTAATTTAGAAATGGTAATAGCGTACAACAAATTTAATAATAATTGTGTCAGTAAATATTATTCGAAATTATTAGCTACAAGCGTGTTTATTAATTTTTTTTTCAAATTAATATAGCGAACATAGATTTACGATATAGTTATGTAGGATAGTAATGTGTAGTTTTTATATAAATTTATATTTATAGGAATGTTTATAACAACAACAATTCTGTAACAATACGAATTTGATCCTTCTAAACGAACATCGAAAGTTGAATCTCGTTAGGAGATACTTATTCGTATGTTTATGAGCGTATGTTTTATTATTTAAGTTTATCAACTTTGTGATATCTGACAAGGTGACTAGTAAACATGTAATTCCTTTAAGTATTGGAACTATAATTAGTTTATTTTATTTGACTTTTGAACTATGCTATATAATATTATATAGAATTTAGTTATAAATTCCTCGCTTATTTTTGGAAACTAAAAAGTTATGTAAATACAAATCTGGCTCAGGCAAATGTATCGATGGATGTTAAGCCGTTTAGAAATTTAGAGTATTTTTTGTTTTTTTTTTGCTAATGTAATGTTATTGTGATAGTCGATAGGCCTTCTGATCTGATGTGTCTGTCGGTATAAGTAAATTGTTAACATAAGAAATACAGCGCCATTGTATTTCAGATTGAAGTGTTTTTATTTATTTTGTTGCCTATATTTAATTTAATTTACCTAGACTTTATAATTAGGATTTTCTTTGCTACTTCATTAAAAATAAATTTGCGCATTCATCAAACAATATAAATAGGTGAGAACATTTAACCAAAATAAAAATTCGAGGCATTGAAATCATTTTATTAAAAAAAACTTAGATTTTATTTATACAAAATTACGAATGCAAATAGTCTGTGTTTGATACTGAGTATAAATAAATGATGACAGCAATATCAAAATATGATGAGACAAAAGCAATTTAATATCACAATTTTGTTTCTTAAAATTCGTGATTGCCTAGGTCTAAATTATGAAATGCAATTTATAAAAAAAAATAAAATTAATCTTAGAAATTATTATTTTATGAGAATTTAGCTGCTACTTTAAAAAATTTATAGAGCCAACCAGTATTTGGAAAAATTAACAATTATTTATAAAACATATTAATATTATAATGCATCACTTTCTCAAAAAATATCCTGTGAATGCGAAAGGCTCATTACTAGGCTTACTATTTGTCAAATGTTCATTCACACAAGCACCATGCAATCTCTCTATTTTCCCGTTGTTGGCGTTTAAAGCTTCGATATAAGGGACGAAAAATACTTGATACTTAATTTAAATACATAGGCACAATACACACGGCATTATTAATTTATTATTATTATGACAGACACGCTTACATTATGCTAGGTACAGGAATTATAAACAATTTATAGAGATTCAAATTGCATTGACAATTTAATAGAGTAACACATAAAATTAGTTTCTAGGTATGCTATTGTCCTTCAGACAAACATTTCATGATTACAGTACATACTTATTTTCAAAGAATTCAAGTTATGGTGTTTTGAAATGCCTAAATTACATTTTTACATAAAGAAGTAGGTATTTATTACATTTTTATGATTACACAATACAGATTTGCAAAATTATCGTTCTGTACTGACTGTACTTTTCATTATTGGTTTCTTGTTTTACAACTAATGGACCTCAATAACGGAAGTGGCCCTTTCTGGAACGTTCTTCGTGGTACACCCGCATTGGAGAGTATGTGCCATTCGTTGTTCCATTCGTTCTATTTAAACCTGAAATTCATTCATGAATACATGTTACTAAGAGTCTACATAATAATTACTTATACGAATCAATAACTTTACTGATCTATATGATAACCACAAGAACAAGCATTTACTCTGTAGTGCAACATTAGAACTACTTATTTTTTATTATGGTGCAGTTGAAAATAGGGTGTTTTTAGAGAAAAAATAAAATTCATTTTGCATAAAAGAAACCTACTTTCATCAATATTATTAACGGGTAAATTGATTTTCAAACTGATAACTTTTCGGGTCAAGGATAATATTTTAATGGATTTTTTTTCTATAAAATCACCCAATAATATTACGTAGATACCTTTAGCGTTAAGCTGTCCATCTATAGAGGAAGCTTTTAGAAATAAATAAAACAAATTAGCACACATATTTAGTTGAGTACACAAAGAGCTACAACGGACAAACAAAAAAACTGGGATCGGCAGTAAGGTAACGTGAAATTTCAACAAGAAAAAATAAAGTTATCTGGCGCCGTATATATTGTCAGCTGTTCATCAATAATATTCTAGAATACATTCTTATGTGGATAACTGGATATCTAACATTTACACGCAGTTTTGCTTACCTTGGAGGAGATGGTGTGGCGGCGACACAGCGGGGGCGGCGCAGCGCGGTGCTAGGAGCAGGTGATAGAGCCCGAGGTACACAGCTGCCACCACCAGCGCCACCACTCCCATCGACTTGTACACCATCCGTACCGCCTGCAACGGCTGCTGTAAGGAAACCATGCCTCCGATAATGGCACCTATGCACCGACCTGTTGAAAACAAACAACAAAGAAAATTGTTAAAATGAATTATTATAATTTATAAATATCAATACAATTTACACTTAAAATTAAATATCAACACAATATAAAAATAAAAAAACAATAATTTAAAAAGAAATTAAACGTACCGATACAGAAATGAGCAATAACCGGCAGAGCTTGTCCGGTAGCTGTGTATTTACGCGGCACCAGGTGACGGAAATACAACACTGCGGTCACCCACACTAAACTAAGTGTGAACACTTCCAATATCTCGCACACTACCACCCATGTGTAGTCGGTACTATATGCCAAACCTGGAAGTTATAAAAAAAGTGTAAAGGAGAATTTCAAAATAACGGTTTTCCTATCAGAATTATTTTGTTCGTTGTAAGAATTTTACCAGCTCTAAATAATCAAATATTTCTATTTCTTTATTAATTTGTTTTATGGCGAATCAATAGCCAAAATTAATATACCTACAAATAAAAAAAACAGATATGGAAAATTATCAGATATTCTAATGTGGCAACAATAGGTAATTGATTAAATGCTGTTTCCAAGTTTTGATTATAATTTTGCTCCGTCAACATATTAATAAATATGCCTACCGGTGTATCTTATGCCGTAAAAAGTAAATGCCATGATGAAGACATTGGAATGGCCAATGTAGTCCACAAGGGCTTCTGCCCACCAGAGGGCAGGCACGGCGGGTAGCGCTCCTGCTGTTAGCGTTAGACCCATTTCTGTTACAGTGCCATTCAACTCCTGTACCGTCCTGAAAATAATAGCAATTTTTTAATTGGGTTCTTAGGAAGATTATCTAGAAGCACTCACATTTTGGTAGATTATATCAAACTACATAGTTTGGTAGATTTCTATGAACTACTATTTTTGTTGATTTCATTAATGGTTTTATTTGATCAAACATTTACCTAAATAAATACCTACGACAAAATATAAATATTCCACTGACCATGACCTAATGCTCTTTGAGTAGGTACCTAATTAAACAGTAGTACCACCAAAGACGAATCAAATCGTGCGATCTATATTTTTATTTACAGCAGGCCCTCTTCATAGACGAAATTGTTTATGATTTCCATGGCAAAACGACTGTTCAAACGTGCTCTGTCTATGGGTCCTATTTTGCGACCCTTTATGCGAGTTCACGCACACTAGAGTTTGCATGCACCTTTTGTATGCATCCCTACCCCCAAAAAAACCGTTACCTGCTTCCCCAATGATCGACGCCGTATTTGTCTTCCCAAGTTCCTCCAACTTTTATAGATACAAGTACCTAGGTAATAGCCTAATTTGATAACTAATTTTCGCTGGAAACGTAGTCTCTGGTTGAAATAGTTATTTAAATTCAAGAATTGACTATCTTACCAAGGCAAGTAAGCATCGATGCCGCTCCATAAGGTGCCTAGCAGCGCCACCACAGCGAAAACTGCAGCTGTTTCAGCCCCATACCGACGCACCGTATTCATTGGCATCGCTAATACACCAGTGGCAGTATGCCACCACCACTCCGGGGTAGACAGGGGCATGTGACTGAAATTGATGAAAAATGTTACACAACAAATCTTGACACTTGAGAGTTTAGGGTCCAAAGGCATCCCTTTCGAACTGATTGCACCTATCTAATAACTAACACCTGTAGATAGAGACGTCTATCGTTAATAGTAGGTAGGCGATATTTAGGTAGGTAATGCTAAATCATGTTTGCATAATAAAACTCGTTATTTCAAACTGATCTATATTCCTGATAGGCTTTTATATTTACAGTGTCGCCTAATAAGGAACAGTTAGTTATTTGTTGCTGTGTGAATAATAATCAAATGCTCATATGCAATTTGCATAAATACAATATGACTATATTCTAAAGATGAGTCATTCAAAAGATGCAGTGAAGCAAATCACCACTTCCTACACATCAAAGGCATTCTACTCACTAGTGATTCATAGTTATAAAAGTAGGTAGGTAGAGGTATCTACGTGGGCTATAAGCACATAAATCGCGTAAATACATCGTTTAGTGCCTGGCATACTTCTGAAATTATCAATACATTTACCAATCTAATTTTAACTGTCGTAAACGGCTAAAACCCTTGACATAGTAGTAAGAGTATGTTTAATGTTTACGCACCTATCGAAGAGTAGAATTAGCGCTCCGACAAACATGAATACAGCGTGAAGAACAAATGGAATAAGGAATGGAGTGTCGGGCATTTGTTCTGCGGCCAGTCCAGCCAGTGGGGGGAAGATGGCTAGCCCAATTGTACCGAAGGCCAACTGTCTACCGACATCACCTCGTCCCAAAGACGTTTCTCTGGTCGCAATGACACAGGCAGTACCGAGGAGAGCTAATCCTGCTGTTGGCCAGATGTCCGATAATATTCTGAAACATAAAATAACAAAATTACTTAATCGTAAACAGTTTTGTGTATTTTATTATCTTAAAAAGTTTATTTGCTTCCAATGTGGCGCCTAACTACCGCAATGTGTAGGATCTTAGTTTAGGTAGGTACTACCGGAAATAACTGATTGTTTACATACTCAATATTATCATAATTTATATCCCTACATGGGTACTTCATCATAGTGGTATGATACTTAGTAGGTACTAGTTCGTGGTTGGAGTCATTGATAGCAAAAATTCCATTAATCACTGGCTCACTGTAGCATTATTAAATAAACATAAAAAGGCATTATTCCATGCTTTTATAGTCGTGTTTGCAAATTAAATAGACTAACTAATCGATACATTATAAATTACAAAGAGCTCATGTAAGAAATAAAAATTGAAAAATCATACGCCGATGACGAGTCAAAGACAAAAGTACTAGCCTTCTAGGTACATAGGTAAGTTATTGGATATGTATCTTAATAATTGTTCACTGACCTAATAATTAAGTAAGTCCAGAACGTATAACTGGGATCTCCAATGATGAGTCGACATTCAGCGTCAGCTAAAACACCATCAGGTTCATCGTAAGGGTCAAGAACTTGGCACCGCACCGCTGGCCTGCAGTCATCGCCTTCTGAGACCTCTGCCAAACGATTTGGAGGCACCTGACACTTTGAAGGACCCGCTAAAATAAAAGTAAAAGTATTTAGAATTTTTTTTGAAATCAACTCTGAACTGCTGTAAAAATAAGGAAACTACAAAGTGTAAGTAACAATTGTAATACATTGGCTTTGTTGAAGGGTTCATAGTATTTGGTCCAAGAAGTAAGTATGCATTCGACTTATTCTAGCAAAAAGGAACAAAACTACTACTTATATACTACACAAGAGCAGCATTGCCATAATTTTTGTCGTTTTCTCTTGATAACTAAAAGCGTTGAATATACGTCAGATACAGCGGGTGATTAGTTGATTAAGTACTTTACCTGTTCGATAAGTGCACCAGTCAGAGTCTGATGTGCTGTTATCTTCAGGCAATTCTGGTGCTATCAAAGATAAAGGCACGCGAAGCCTCGCCTGATGCTGCATGTATACCAGGCACTGGCCGTTGTAGCAGAAGTGGGGAGGGTTCACTTCGAAAGGCATCGCATGTCTTACTTCGTCGTCTTCGGTGACTTCTGGTGCAGAAGTCTATATAAAAAAGGCAGTAAAAATGAAGTAAGTACAGCCGTACAACTTTAATAAGGCACAAGTTATATGAAGATTTGAAAAAACCTTATGCATGATGTATGGCTTTTTCAAAAATAGATTGACAATATCTGTAAGAAGGATATATTTTATTTATATTTATGTTAGGTATTGTACCCTTTCCTGGCAGTACTAACATTTAGCAGCGCAACATAACAGAATATGTACGGAAAATAGCGAGGAACAGCACAAGGTAGGTAGTACATACAAGATATTTACTTATTGATATTCTGCATAGTTTTACATATTCTATGGCGAAGAAGCTCGACGAATAATAATACACAGCAGTATTATCGAGGAGGCATAGAATATTTTGTAGTGTGAACAATTGAACATAATAAATTATCGTCGTCATCGTAAAGGAAACCGATTTTAGCCCCACATGAGAATAAATCTGTGAATGAATTCAAAGGAAAATATCTTATTAATGTGCTATCTAGGTACTGATCCACCAATAGTCGACTTAGGTACATCAGTAGTAACCAATTTTTTTCATTTCACGTATTTTTTAGATGTACTCAAATGTAATTTAAGTGTAAGTAAGTATTCTTTCGAATAGGGGTACATCACTTCTCATATTAATATGAGAGATGTCAGTTATTTTTTTCAGATAAAAGTTGCTCTTGATTGTTGTCTCTCTCCTAGTTATCAGAAATACCTAATTTTAAAAGATTCGATAAACTTTTTAAACTTACCGTAGCGTTGGCGACGCTGAGGTACATCGGACTGAGCGTGGTGGTGGTGGATGTGGTGGTGAAAGGCTGCTTCACCCATGTCATATTCTCGTCTGCACATCCGTATTCACATGCTGTCACAGCCAGCACTCCTGACTGCGAGGAAGATAAACGTGAAATAGATCTAAAATTCTGCACTTTGAAACTGTACCACAAATGTTTTTTAAATACAAAATACGACTTTTATTATTCAAATTCATTTAATCGTTTGCAAACATGGCTATTCTCCTTTCGATTCCAAAATATTCACTGTAATTCAAAATTGTAAACTTTAAAATCAATTTTAGTTATAACCCTTTTAAACAAGACTACTGACCTTTTCGCCAGACCACCGGTTGCAGCGCATGTCCTCCTTACACACTTCTTGCATGACATAAGCACTGTCTTCATCGCACATGAAGAGCACTTCAGGCCGTCGAGCCTGCGGGATACAGTTACATTTAGATCGAGAATTAAACCTGACTTATACTTAACCTAGTAGAAAATAATTAAATGAAAATGATAGCGACGGTATAGGTAAATTTTGGAAAAAATGTGGAGAAGCAGGTTTTATTTATCTAGACATAAAACTTGTGTGAGAAAGCTATGCGTCGTTGAAAGATCAAAACCTACGTCGCATTAATAGACGAATTTTGCCTTGAGATACATAGGAATCTACTAGCAGCTAGATAATAGTAACCGAACTAGAATTTTGGAACACTTTTAATTTTTCGATGAAGCCTTCTAATTACCGCGTACAGCGGATTAGGTATACATTACACATATACTGACCACATAAAGACGAAATGACTTTGTTGTAGGTCACTAAAATATAAGGTTACCTATGATATTTTTGTATACGTTTCATGATGGTTTTAATAATTATTGCTATTAATCAACAATAATGTATGAATACCTCATGTCGTTCCGTATAAGGCACTGCAAGGAGGAGTGTGTAGAATATAGCGCTGAGGATGAGGCAGGCAGCTGTAATGACTCGCAGTAGCCGCCCTGAACCACTCGGGTTGGTGGCGCCGCCAGTTGACCCTCTACCCACTGATAGTCTGCATACAAATTACACACCTTAGAATATAATTAAAGAATCCTTTAAAGATATTATTGAATTATGATATAAATAGACCCGATTTTGCTAATATCCTACTCCTACTGGCTAAAAAGTTTCAGTTGAATATTTATATCAAACAAATCAGTGCAGGTGTCATGTGAAAGTTTTAACGGACAATTATTTTGGTGAAACATAATGAAGCTCTAATTGTCAATTCTAGAAAAGTTTTAAGTCACGACAAAGACATTGTAAGCTGGTTTAAAACTTTCTCACGTCGACAATAACCACAACAATGTAGATCAAACCTTGTTTTCCAAATAGGGAACAATAGATGACAACTCCATAATACTTACTTATCAATGAGAGGCCCCAACACGGCAGGACCTAGCAACGCAATACATGGCGCGACAGCCGATATCAACCGGGCTTCTCCCTTGTCTAGACCCACTGACAGCATGTGCAGTGGCAGAAAAGGGAAGATGCACCCAATACCTAGGAAAATAAAGCAAAAATTTACTAAGATAAAGATGTAGGTCCTACTTCAACATTGGCAAAGAGACACTAGAATCTTACGAGGTCCAATTAATTGAACACATACTGCAATTAACGAAATTGTCATGACGAGTTATTAATTAATCTGCTATTAAGGAGCATTTAAGTAATAAATTGCGTGCTACAAACATCTGAATGAAGCAGTTGTAAGAAATAAGTGGGAGCATATGGGTCATACTGGCCGCAATGCAGTGGCAAGTCCGAGGTGAACGGTCCCTAAATCATTCGATAGGTAGCATTCGTCGTTCCTTAGAAGGCAGCTTGCACTGACCGGCTTGAATTATTGGCCTCCTGCTACCTAACCACGAAGACTTGAAGTCTTGGACCACTTTTTATAGAGCCAACTGGGGCCTGAGACAATCTTGTTCTTATTACATTGCCCAAGAAAGGAGCAAACATGTGTGCCTTATTTATTAGTACTACGAAACGATTTACAATTTAAGATGATGTTTCTGGGAAGAAAATTTAAACCTGTTGTAGGCTTTTATGTTTTTCCTGATCAGGGCAAGTAGGAATTCCAAAAATATTTAGTTTTCGCAACAAACACGTTGACAGATATCATATTAAAATTCTCTTACCAATTTTTTCACACCTCGGGTTACCTACGTGCATTTTATTGAAGATCCTATTTTTTGAAATGTAATACAATTTAACAGACACAAATTAGTCTGTGTCACTCAGAGAAAGTCAAAGTCTTTGACTTTGACTTTGATGTGATGCAGAATTCTAATAGTAAAAGAATTTTTGGAATTGGCCTAGTACATTTTGTGTGAAAACATTATCATCATCATAACATCACGCCATGTAGGCAGAGGTGCACATTACGGCACTTAATGCCACTGTACAATGTAACACCCACTTTTCACTATTTATGTTATGAGTCCCATGTAATAGGGTGTGAGCCTATTGCCATATACCGGGCACATTTCCAGACTCCGTGCTACTACTGAGGTTTTTACATACCCAGTAATAATTTGCCCGACCCGGGAATCGAACCCGAGATCCCTAGCCCGGCAGTCGCACTTGCGACCACTCGGCCAATGAAGCAGTAAAAACATTACAAATATAAAATATAACACAAAACACAAACAGGCCCTATTAATAATATTAGTTTACATTAGATTATTTCTTTCTTAGATCTCATGTAGAACCAAGTTACTAACTCTTCACACCCAGTTTAAAATCTATTAGCGCTAATTTTACACTTAATAATTTTAATACTACAGTCGTAGCTCGTAGCGCGTAGTTTGTTGCTCGTAGCGCGTAGTTCGTAGCGCATATTTCGTAGGCCATAGATCGTAGTGCATTGTTCGTAGTGCATTGTCGTAGCGCTCACTTCGTAGTTACGTACTACATTTTTGTTACAAGGATTTTTTATTAGGAAGGTAGTGGATACTGATTAAGAGTAAATAGAACACGTTCTCAAAAAGGACATTAGCTATTAATTTTATTCTTAAATATTTTATTATTCTTACCCGAAAGGAAACAGAAAAGTACGCATTTAAGCGTTATGAGGTTCTTATTGACGAGTTGCTTCATTTTTGCGGTTGTTCTGTTCGTTTTCTAAATAAATCAGCTATTCAGGCATCTTGGATCTGGAACAAAATTGACACGGTCATTAATAACAGTTGGTTGTAAATAGACAGTCTATAAGCTATTAAGTTACTAGTTAGACATAATTGAGACTGTTTTCCAACCATTATGGTTTTTAAATGAAAATTACTTTCTTTTAGTACCAGAATGTATTTTACATAGAATGTATTTGTGTATTGAAGAATGTATTTTACATACACACATTATACATGTTTAAGGAAACTATGTAACTTGACTTAACTTGAGATACCGCTATGCAATCTAGTAATCTTAACTCGAATTGTTGTAGGTACTAATTAATACTCGAATAAGTACTTACTTAATAATAATAAGAAAATGTGATATCTACAATGTATGCCCAGTTTTCGTACATTTTCTACTGTCGTCCGGTCATATTGTGGTCAAACGATACAAAACAATAGGGTAGATGCCTAATTTTTTTTTAATGTCCGTCTGGTTGATTGTTTTAAATCATTAGCCACGTATTTTTTATTTTCTTACAGAAACGAATACTTTCGACGATACATTGATTTGAAATGTCGCGTGACGTCACTTCTATGTACATTTTATACGTAGAAATTACGTTTTAGCCCCCCCCCCCCACTGCTAAACTTTGATTCGTTTTATATAAGTATTGTTTTATGATACGACAAAATTAAAAAAATACGTGTCTAATATTTTTTCATTACCTAACTTACGGACTAATTAGATTTTTAATTTTCATACCCTGTCATCATCCCGATTCACAATACAAATACGAATGTTAGTCGAACGTGTCTACTACGATATAGGTAAGCACTCGTAGGTACGTGTGTAGATTCTGCAAATTCAGATACGAGGAACATTTGAATTGGCAGACAGAAAAAAACTCAAACAAACAATCAATGCAGCGTTTTAGCAAATCGGGGCCACGGCCACTTATTTAAACGCCTACATCACCGGCGTCTCGTGGTGACACAACCAATGCCAACTGTTATAGCATTAAAATAGATGCCATGAGATGACTCTTGCAATGATCTCATCCTGACAGCATTCAGTAACAGTGGACAAACGGGCTCGTAAAAAGTTCACTAAGCATTCCGATTGCGTGCGCGCCGGATGCTCATTATTGTAACTACCTATAGGGCTTACTAGCATAATCTGCAACCTTTTCAATCTTAGTATTTTTTGCAGTAGTTTGGTTATTTATACTTCCAATAACTTTTACTAGTGAAAAGTATTTTAGCACCCCCATCGTAGATTAAGTTTAGGAATGAATGGGTTAACCAACAAGGTTATACAACACTCAATACATATTACCTACGTGTTTACTTTTCTCGCAATAAAACTGTAAATGAATGCATTGTGAATTGAAAGACAGGTTCAATAGGGGTTTAAATATGTAAAGAGAAAGTTGTGAGTCTAGATACAGACTTAAGACACATACCCAATTTTTGTTCTCAGCTCTACATTACAATTTCTCTCTTTAGTGCAAATGAGAGTGATATGAAATGACATCACATTTAAAAATAAAACATTATTCATTCCTTCTTATTGGACGGTTTGCGTGGTAGGTCTGTATATTAATTGTGAGAGCTTATCTATCTGAGGTCGTGCTGTCATTGTCACGCGGCAGATACCTACCTTTTAGGTTCCAATCATGTTTAATGGCTTAGTATTTGTTATCAAGTAACCAATATGTTACTGGCACGCTTTAGAACAGATATCTTTTAATATCTACTACAAAAAATAAATATTGGCCTTCATTTTCAAAGTATATACAAATTTATGTTGCGTAGTGAAGTTACCCGCTGTGATTAGGATTACATAGTTAACACATCTACTACGCGGTGTTACCCAACAATATTTGTATACTATAAACCACTCATTTCTATTCATAACAAGTTAATGAGCCAAAGTAAACTCTTTAACCACTTTAAGTAAACACTTTAACCGTATTGGATGTTTAAACAATCACGATTTTTTAGAAAGAACATTAGCGGTATTTTTTTCTTTTATTTTGTAACGCATGGCTCAAGGGGGTCAATCAGTCAACTATTGACTGTTTGGGTTCACGATATTTCGGCGCCGTCTTACAAAAGGGTATCGTATTATCGCTCTGTGTAACTGGGTTACGATCGTGTAAACATAAACATGACCGTCCCATACTTTCACACGACAGATGTTTCGCCTGTGGCAAACCGCCAATTCGGATAACATTTTTTAACTGATATTAAATTACATAAGTGTAATTAAAGACTAGGAGACCTAATGGTAACATGTCCCAGCTTCAATTTATATTTCAAGCACAACATTGATGGAGGTGCTTTAAGTAAATTGGAAGATAACAATTTATTTAACAAGACATGAAAATGAGTTCAATATTGTATAGACTTTTTGTCTGAAATCGATCGTGACATTCAGCTATACCATCAAAAAATATAAGTAAGTAGGCACGTAAAATAATTATAACAATCAATCTATTTTAGTCGTACATCGTAACAATAAAGCTTAATGTAATATTACATATTTCGGTTTGCGTGTCAGAAGGCGGTTTGAAAAGGGCACGGCGGCGGTCGATGGCCAGAATTTGGCAAAACTGTGTGACGTGACATGACATTGCGAATAACAACGAGCAATGCGACAGAAATAATACAAAATATGTCAGTGTAATATAGAGGACTAAATTAACGTTTGAATGCACGTTATCTTGAATTGCAATGTTGGACTGGGGGCAATGGAAACGTGTAAAACAGAGTGCGACCGTGCTCAGTCACCGTAACCAACTGTCATGACACAGCCGCCGGCGCCGATTGTAATTTGATTTTTTGGCCATAAAACATTTTTTACGCACGCTTATTGTTATTTCATACAAAAAATACTTTCTACGAAACTGCTTAGTTAGAGAATAGCGAAGGGCTTATTCTAAACATCAATGCTAAAATTAGCGTGATTACGTGATTACGTACCCACGTCAATGTTAACTACATTAACAATTTCAATGTGTTCAAAGGAAATAAAAGCTAAACAACAAGAAACGTTATGCATACTCATGATCCTATTTTAAATAGGCATTTATGTATGCCATTGCATGGCTTTATGGAGGCAACACATGAATGAATATCTATAGACTTAGTACTTCTATCAGGAATTCTCATTAGGTACCTATACTAACATAAGATGGTATGTCACAGAAAGTCTTGCAATTAACTTTGGTGGAACCACAACTACCACAAGCAACTCTGAGAAGAAAAGGCAGTCATGAATGTTTGATGAAAGCTTTTATCGTCTTCCTTTCCTTAGCAAATAGAGAAACTAGTTTATTCCAGCGAATTGCTAGTGAACCTCACTTAAGTGCATACCACTATAGGCACTACTGTTCCCTATGTTGATAGTTTGATAGCTGTCTACCACTGTCTACTGTTCATTCACCCAATGCGTGATATAAGAAGATACTTAGGTCAGTGTAATTGATTGAGCGGAGATGTCACAGTTGCCGGACCAATTTAATTCACTACAGTCTGCCCAGCCACTTGTTTATACATCGCCAGTTGAATTGTGACTTATGTATACATAGACTTATGTAGCGACACACCATTATGCGAAGTGGAGGGAAAAATCGATAAAGTAAGCGATAGAAACTAGAACACCATACTTTAACTTCGCTTTAGTTTAACTTGTTTATGGTTAGAACGCAAAATTATCTGTGGCAAACATTTTAAAAAGTTTTGCGTTTATTATTATGACGTTTAATCATTTGCTTTTTTTATTCTAAACTAAGCACTTCAGTGCGTTCGACATACGATAATTGATTTTCAGATAATTACTAATTTGATAATCTTTTTATTTTTATTGTTAAGTGCCTGTACTTATATATTTACTCTAATGAAAATAATCTGTATTTGTCTTTTCTAGCTTACTAAATAGATAATAGACGGTAATAAATTAAGTAAAGATTAGTTCTACTCCACTGAACTGCAGTACCAAGTTTCACTGTTATAAATTCTCTACTGGGTATATTATTATTAAGTTTCTAACTCTCAATCAAAACGCACTACGACACCTTAATTGACTTGGGCAATAAAACTTTGATCGCATGTCTAAATCAAATCTACGCAGTTATCATTTCTATTCCCCATTCGTGATACCGCTGTATGTAATAGGGTTCGAAAAAATATGAATATTATTTCTTACTGATTTGAATTCTATTTTTAAGTTAATAGGTTCGAAATTATTTTTGAAATATCGGTTATAAATAATGTTAAAGCCATAAACATTAATTGAATAAAGCTAGCAAAATTGCTGAAGTTAATTAACGTAATATCAAAAGGGCTTATGTTAGGATTTAGAAACCAGTTATCAGAAACTCAGGCTCTAGATTTCGAGGCTGTGTAGATACTAGTTATGTAAAATTTTAGGCACACACAAATTCACAACACGCTGAGCATATGGGGCTAACACACATTCTTTAAAAACTGTTGAATTTAAAAACGGATCGTACGAAAACGACGAACTCAATGTGGAACAAACTGTGCTAATTTATTATTTTCAGTGGTTATTATTATTTCTGGCTTCCTCGAATCGAATGAACCGTCTGAAGCAGAAGCAACATTTGTTTGTAATTATTATGGATTCATCCTATTAAAAAAGTAAATTAACGATGTTTATGTGTAGGCTGGTAGCCGTTATATATTTTCTGCTTGAAGCCACGAAAACGTAACACCAAACACAACCGATATTTATTTAAACTTTTAACAAAAAAATAATGTAGATCCGATGTTATTGACGAGTTTAGAGTACTAATATGAATCAATGATGTGAATGAATAAGTAATGTAAAGAAGTTGTCGATAGGATCACTGCCAAAACAATCGTAATACTAAAGTCGTTCCCCGTATTAGTTACAATACAATATCAAGTCCAGCGCCTTGAACGTGCCTTGACCGGCTGAATAAGGACTGGTTTAAGGAGCAGAGTGCTACAGCAACAGGGCATGTTGTAGTGTTATAATATATTGTAGCTGT